CTTAGTATGAAATTCATTTCTAGTACATTATACTTGACAGATATTAATAACTGTAAAGTATATGACCACATATTTGATAATTAAAATAACTATCAAGTATATGGACATTGCATCAATGATAGGATCTTATTTGACATTTTTAACCGTCAAATATAGGGAAAAATGATTATCAAATATCCTCAATGCTGTAGTAGTGTTTCCTTCATTTTTTATACCAAATTGAAATTGTTGAATCATATGTTTTGATTATTACAAAACTAAGAGAAGAGGTGTTTGTTTTGTGTGCAAATACATAAAGTTTCATGAATGAAGATAAAACCTCAAGAGCATGAAGAATCGAGAGAAGAAGAAGAAGATTTATAGGATAAGTTATATATTTCTCTTAGATTCAATGTGAAAACTTTGAGAGCTTAATCATATGTTAACAATCTTTAAATTGAATGCATCATGTTAGGTTCATAAGTCTTATTTGTGCATCTTAGAACTTGTTTTAGTCAATTCGAGCTAGTGAGTTATGTCATTCTAGCTTAAATTGGATATAGAAGTTGATATTTTCTTTATCTGATAATTCACACATGATTTAGTATGGTCCTACGCATGATTTGTCACCTTAGGCATACTAATTGACGTTTCACGCCTGAATCAGTAGTGATCCACGTGTGATTTGTCACATGTGTTTGTGTGATACCTTGATAAAGTTTCTATGTTCCAATTCACACAAGTTACCCTTGCATATGCACACTTGAATTGTCATCTTGTGTTCCCTTACATATTGAGAAGTGTCATTTCACGCTTGAAATGAAATGTATTTACATGTGTTTGGTCACTTAGTCTTTTGAATACATTTAGCCTAAGTTAGTCCTAAGCCGTTTTAAGCCTATTTTGTCTTGCACACTTACTTGATTCATCACTTATTATTCAAAGTCTTTTCAACCATGCAATCCACGCTCGAATGAACATGAGTACCACACGTGATATGTTTCAGAAAATGGCTTAGTTTTGTAATTAGCCATTTCACACGTATGTAATAGAGTGTTTCACGCGTAATCTATCTTCTTGAATGGACTGAGTTTTATAACCAGCCATTCCACACGTGATAGTAAGTTGGTTTCATGTGTGATTTGTCACACAATTGGTTTTGGCATTCTGCTAGCTAATTCATGTGTGAGAACCTAAGGATCGCACACCTATTTTGTTACACAAAGTGGTTTGCATATTCTTTTCCTTCAAAACATGCATGAGTCACTCCAATGTTCATGATTGAATTGTCACATATGCTTGATTGGGACTTAACTAGCTCCATTTCACACGTGAATCATCTGGTTGCTCATAAAAAATGTCACCAATAGCTACAAACATTGTCCCAAAGATATGTTAACTGCCAAAACTATATATATATATATATATATTGATATAATTCAAGTCTAAAAGAATAATTTTGATTTTTGAGTGAATTATTCATCTTTTGAACATTCTAAAAAGCTTTAAACTATGCATTAAAGTATTGCATTCATATATTTATCATGCTTGATAAATCTTGTGGAAAAGTTCTTATAAGTTCTTAGGCTTTAAATTGTATTTATTCTTCTCTTTTAAAAGAGTTTATCTTTGAAAATTCTTTATTTTGTGAACAAGCTAAAATCTTAAAAAGAAGTTTTTCAAGTGATTTGTAACAACTTGCTGAGTGTAGTAAGTTTTGTTGCTGAGACAAGACATGTAAAGTATTGAGAGTTATACTGTGGTTGTAAGCATCCATTGAAACTTATGAGTTTAGTTAAAAATCTCAAGTATGATCTTAAGGACTAGAAGTAGGCCATGTTTTAGGTTGAACTAGGATGAATCTCTCATGTCAATTCTCTCAACTTCTTGCACATATCTTTTTTCTCCTTCGAGTTTTCCAGAAAAATCTAGTATCACCCAATTCATCCTCCTTCTTAGGTGTTAGCCTATCCAACAGAAATTACAAAGAGCGTTAGTTGATTAATAAAATTACAAAGAAAGATCTAAAAATTTAGGAAACTCAATTAATATTAAAAATATGATTGCTATATAAAATATTGCAAGTCATCTATAAATTTATGAAAAACTATTTTGAATTGTTTATATTTAAAAAAATTATAAATTTTGGATGAATATTTATAAATAATAATATTTAAATTATTAAATACTAAATTTTAATAATATTTTTTTTGTAAATAATAATATTTATTAAATTTTAATAATATTTATTAAATTTTATTTAACAAAACTTTAGGGCATCTAGCATTCTTAGAAAAGACTTTAGGGGCAATTATCACAATAAAAGAGTTCAGGGGCAATTAGCACAAAACAAACACAATCAAAAACAAAGAATCTTACTTGTTATTGTGCATGGAGCCCACACAAATACTATGTCAACCAAAAAAAAAAAAAAGCATAAAATTGACAGCTGACTAACATAAGTGTTTTTTCCCCCTTGGAAAAATAGTTCAATGGTAAATTTGTACCGCTTATCAATATAGGGTATCTAATACTCCTTGAAAAAAGTTCAAGAATAAAAATGTACCTTAACCCAAAATATAAATCCATATTTATAATATCTAGAGAATTTTTTATTTTATTTTTCTATTTACCCTTGTGTATAATTAAATGTCATGAGAAACTTATACAGTTTATGACTTTTAATTGTAAGGTTAGTTTTGAATCAACTTTCATTTAATTGTCCTCCTTCATATGTGCATTTGTAAATGTAAACTGGACCTCTATTGTGGACCAGAGGAGTATTAGTCCATGTGTGCCGATATACATATTACATATATATATATATATATATATATATATGTGAGAGAGAGAGAGAGAGAGAGAGATTTCATTTGGTCGCAAAAGAAAAACTCTTAATTTTTAAGATATTTAGATTTTTTAATGTTATGAAATATATCTATCTTATTTTCTTAAATTTTACTGGTTAGTTGCCTTGTTTATCCTCACATGATGTCTTTATTTGGTCTATGCAAGTGAATTTACATCCTTTTCTTGTGACAAAAAATATTTAATATTTTATTTTAGCTATGATATACTTCCTTTATTAAAAAATATAAGGCATTATTTTTTGAAGAGTTGGATGTTTAAAAATGTTAGGCATTTTTAGTTTTTCGAGATGTAATCATTACTTTTTTTTTAGAAGTGCCCCTATTAATAAGGATTTTATATTTATTTTAGGATATTTAGTAAGGATAAATATAAAAAGATAGGGTTAGTTAAAAAGTAAGTAACTATTTTATTAGGGGTTGAAATTCTTTAAAAATTCCTTACATTTTTTAATGGAGAAAGTATAAGATATATTATTTTAATAAGCTAAATATAGTTTTCATTTTTCCTAATTTTACTTGTAAACAGAGTTTTATTGTTTGTTCATCAAATATTCTTTTACAAAGTTCAAATAAATAAAACAAATTAGACGAATTACCGTTCAAGGCAAAATCAGAGTCACAGCGTACTCGCATCTTTCTTCCAATCACCTCCATCTCCATTCCTTTCTTGCATGCACACATTATACATACATATAACACACACGCGCGCGCGCACATAGATATTTTACACACACACACACACAGATATTTTATAAAAGGGCAAATATTCCCAAAAATAGGCCTGTAATTAAAAAGAGAAATGAAAAAAAAAATTAAAACAAAAACAGGCTGGAAGCTAAAAGAAGAAGTTAAAACACAGGAGACACACCTCTGCTTGTTTGGTTTTGAACCCAAACTAGACCACATTGAAGTTGATAGAAGAGAGCAAGTGTCTGTTGCAATCATCAAACTAGAACTTCTAGCTAAAGGTTTACCAAAGAATTTGTTTGGCCAGCAAAGGAGATGGAGGCCTTAAGATCGAAAATTCTCAATAGCATAAGTCATTGTCAAGGTCTAGAATAAGGTTAAACAAAAGTAGATAATTTCAAAGTCACTCAGATTTGTAGATCTATGCTTAGACCAACTAAACAAGACAACTGTTGTCTGTTCTAAAGAACTAAGACTTGAATCACAGTGAATAGCTCTTTGGTATATATAGATGAAGCTCCATCCGTCTCTTTGAAAATTTGGAGGACTTCTTTTGATATCTGACATGACTAGATACTGCAATCTTGATGAGTTATTAGAAGCATTAATTCCAAACGCATGCAGCAGATCAATTTCATCCCATGTACATATATGCTTTAGAAAGAAGACATACATACATACAATCCCTTTTCTGCCCAACTTTCAATTCCATCTCATTCCACAAAAACTGCAGGTATGTATCAAAGATTAATTTTTACTCCACTAGAGGTTAGCTCATATGGTGAGAATAAGGAGACATGTGAGTAAAAGTCGAGGGTTGAAACATTCAAGATGAAATAAAATGAGAATAACATTTCCTATTTATATTTTTAGTGTCTTGATTGTTCATATATGTTATCATGAAAATAGTATACTACACCGATTCATTGTGTATGAAATATGGATGATTAAGATTTCATTGATATAAGGTCAACCCTAATAAACTTATTAGAAGGTTCCAATCATCATGCATCTAGTAATTAAGGATCCTTATACAAAAATTGAAATACATATTTAGGATTATTGGACTACTCCATGAGGGATTGGGACTTGATGAATGGCTTGAATTTATTTATTCAATGAGTATCTCAAGTGGCATGATGAAAACTATTTGATTCAATTGAATAACTAGAAGAGATTTTGTCTTATAATACTCAAAATGTATCAAATCTCAAATTTTTGGAAGGGATAAGGAGTATTAATTATTCTGATAATGAAAATTGTTTTAAATTTTTTAAGAGAAATACATATTGATAATTTTTAAGTATTAATAAAATTCAATAATTATAATTGCTGAATATACCTTGCCGAATCTCAATTCAAGATATCAATTCAAATCATGGACTTCGATCAAAATATTTTAGTGGGAAATTAACCACTTTAATTTGTTATAATTGTTGAGATGAAAAAAACTACACACAATCATACATCCGAAGAGAAATCACACTTTTTCTTGGAAATAGTTAAGGAATTATATTCACAAGTTTATTAATGTGTAGCAATATTTCCAACAAGTTGTATGCTTTTCTTTTGAGACTCAATGACTTGATTCGGATCATCTTCTAAACGGCCATATGCAATCTTGTCTGGGTAATACTTGACCAAAGCGATGTAAAACGACACTGCAAAAACGGCAACCCCAATAAAGAACCAGCTGAACTGAATATTAACCAGCGAGAGAGCTCTTCGAAGCGCCTCTTCATTAGAGCATCTCACCACATAGCGACCATCATTGGGGTTTTTGAAACACCCTTTGGGAATCAACCCAGTATTCGTAAGCATATAGCCTATGACCACGAACCACACACCTTGGAACATTATGCTAATCGATCTCAAGAAGCTAACCAAGAAACTACGAGGCAACCCAATTCCTACAAGCGTAGTAGCCAGGGACACAAACACCAGAAGCTGAGCCAGAAGGTGGTATTGGCCATCTATATTAGAGATAAATAAGTTAAAGAAGTCTCCCATCTAAAAATTAAAAGATAAATTAAGAATATATAAAGTTTAAGATATGTTTAATCAAATGTCTTAAACTGTTTTGATGAAGTAAACTATCATCAAACATACTTAATATGAAGAGTTTAATATGGTATTATGAGCTATTCAATCAATAACCAAAAAAAAAAAACAATACAATTGAGAAAAAGGGGGAAAAAGAATGATAAAATGAAAAATGCAACAAAAAAAAAAAAGGAAGAGAAGAAGAAAAAATTGAATTGACTTGAAACTTCCGAAACTAAAAAAAGTATAGACCTAAGTATGTATGAAGAAAAAGAAAATAAAAAAAAAACAAACAAAAGTAATAGAGGGAACATTAAAGGTAAAGAAATCAATAAAGAAATTCCACATCTAGAAACTAAAAAATAAATTAATAATATATAAAGAGGCAAAGAGGTAAAAATATTTAAGGAATTGTCTATCAAAAGCATTTAGTAGTTTAAAATAAGGAAAAGTATAAAGTATCCGTAAAGTTATTTTTAATATATATGTGACTAAACTGTTAATTTTCAGATCTACAACATAATGGTGATACATCAAAAAAATAACTTTAAGGATACTCATGTACTTTTTTTTACTTTAAACTATTCAATACTACTGGTGAGACAACTTCTTGTATATTTCTACCTGTTTGCCCATATATAAAATTTAGAATATATGTAATCAAATAGTTTAAGTTATTTTGATAAAATATACTACTCTCAATTATACTTAATATAAAAAAATTTAAAAACCTGGTCCATCATGATCAGAAGAGTGAAAGTGAATGAGAAGAAGTTGCTGAGAAAAAGCTATAGCAGCTAACAATTGGGTCAGTTCTTTTTTCGCTTTTGAGTCAGTGAGGTCTAGAGCCATGGCGAATGAAGCGTAGATGAAGTAAGCAAAGTACATAGACGAGTGTTCCAAGTTGTGAAGGTGTGTGGAGGGAATACTTCCATCTGCATCGAAAGGTTGGTGATGAGAAGGAATGATGAAAAGGTCCAAGGCTATGAAGATTGTGCTGCTAACCAATATGAAGATGAGCTCAAGGTATTTGAACTTTGGAGAAATGGGAAACCAGAGAGTAGTGCAGAAATTGTAAGACTTGGGGTTAAGTGCGTGAAGCTTGATGTGGTTAAAGAGGTGCCATATACCAACAATTATGAATCCAAAGCCCAAAAATACGTGCCCATCCATTCGAAATATGGCAAGGATTTCAAGTTGAGATACTAAAATGATGAACCTTTGACACTTATAGTTCATCACTAAAACAATGAACTGATATATGAAGAGAAACTTACAAATCCTCACTTGTGTCATATAGCTTTTCTGATGCTAGCTAGGAATTAAGGACTTGCTTCACGTGGGTCCTAAATGTCCTTGAAGCAGGTTCGTGGTGGGAGAGGTTGAAGTTGCGTGAAAGCAAGCGATGGAAATAGATGACATGGGAAATTTATTGCGTGCGTTCGGGTTTTACTTTTTCCTAAGTTCATTTATTTATGAGACGGTTGGATAAGCACAGCTCCAATAAAAAGTACTCCCTCTATTTAAAAATATAATATATTTTTAATTAAATTTTACTTTTTAATAAAATAATTACCTTATTTTTAAATTAATTTTATCTTTTTATATTTATCTTATTAAATACCCTATAATAAATATAAAATTATTATCAATAAGGACATTTAAAAAAAAAAGACAATGATTATATTTTGAAAGATAAAAAATATCTTATTTTTTTTAATATTTAACTTTTCAAAAAATGCCTTATATTTTTTAACGAAGGGAGTAGTTTATTTTATTAAACTTAATTTTCATTTGATTCTAAAGTTCATTTATTAAAATTTTTTATCAAGAATTAATTTGATAAAAATTAATTGTAATAATATATCAATTTATATTTGGATACAAGTTTAAAAAAATTAAAAAAAACTGAATTATTTGGAATCAATCCAAACCAACTTTTACTATTGAAAATTAACTTTAAATTATTTAAAAAGTTAAAAGTAATTTTTAAGGTAACTCAAATCAACTTTTGGCAAATACAGAACAATTGCAAAATAAAATGTTTGAAGTAAAAAAAAAATTGCTCAAATAATTTTTAACTCCTTGAAACGTTTTCCAAAAGAAATTGATTTCCAAATAGTGGTAACCAAACATGCCCGTACAATATATTTGCACGGTGCAAATGCAGTGGCTGGTGTTGTTGGCTAATCATACTTGTACTGTCAGGTGTTGGTTGGCGTGCACGGTGAGTAATGGTCCATAGAGTATCCGTGGGAAAAATTTTCTCACAACTTAAAAAATATAAATTATTTTTTTAAAAAATAATAATAAAATTCCTTACAATCTGATTTTTTAAAATATCATAATATTATATAAGTCTCTAAAAGTTTTTTATCAATAATTTTTAAATTAAAAAATCATTTTTTGTCATAATTTCTTATTAATTTCTTGCAATATTTGAATAAAAGTTGATTATATAAATAAAAGTCGTGAATGTGATTTATTATTTTGAGAATTTGTTTATCGATAATAAAAATTATAATTAAAAAATTATAATTTTTTATTTAATTCTTATTATTCACAAAATAAAAGTTATGATTTCATAGGTAAAAGTTTTGATTAGAGTTTGTTTTTCAATAAATGAAATTATGTCTGAGAAGTTGTAATTTATTGTTTAACTTTTACAATTTATAAATTAAAAAATTATAATTGAAGCTTATTATTTTTAAAGTAAAATATTTTTTTCAATTTAAAATTTATTGATAAAGAAGTTTATAAGGACTTTAGTGAAAATAATAATTCAGAGGAATTTTATCATCATTTTTCCTTATTCTTAACTCATCTCATTCCTAATAAATTAATTAATTATTTTTAAATTAATATTATTTTTTATATTTATTTTTTTATTTAATAGTGTTTTTCACTTAAAAATAATATAAAGTTATTTGTTAAAGATATTTTTAAAAAATTATTATTTATATCTTAAAACACTAAAAAAAAACCTTACATTTAATGGAGGAAGTCTCATTTTTGTAAAGCAAATCAACTTATCACTCTTGCAAGTATACAGGATCCATATAATAATAATTCCTAGAATATTCTTGTAATATTTGTTATTTATAAAAACAAATGGGAGTTTTGAAAAGAATTTAATAACTAATTTAAATGAATAAGAAAAATGATAAAAAGAGATGGAAATGATGAACCAACTAATCAAATGAGCACCAGTGATCAAAATTCACCTAGCCCTGGTCACAAACATATTGCTTTGCCGTGCGTAGGCATGGCTAAAATAAGCTTGATCACGAGCTAACGAAGGAGAAATAGGTTATTGCTTTGTGACCAGGGCTTCTCTTCCTAAGTTTGTTCGTTGCCGGATGAATACATAACATGTAGGAATCATTGTGGTGGGCTCTGTGCACGAGTGGAGACATCCTTCAAAAGCTTGTCCGCAACCGAATGAGTCTTTTTTGACTTGATTCCTTGGTCTTTAATTTTGAGCTTCGCATTATAAGACATTTTTAATGATACTTTTTCTCTTTTTCTTAAAAAAATACCAAAATTTTCAAGTAAGATATTTTATCTAATTTTATATTTAAATCACACATTAATTAGTCAAAATAAGAGCACAAATTATGCATAAATCTACATAAAATGCCCACTTTGATACTAAGTTTTATATACTTAAAATGTTTATTTTCAATTTAATCTTTTATGAACAAGTGTGTGTATTTTTTATAAATTATTTATTATGTAATAATCTCTTGTTATTAATATTATTAACATGATAAAATCTATACGTAACTAAGTTTTTCCATTTGGGTATTATCTAGTATTGAAAAAGATATTCTCTAAAGAGAACATAAAAATACATTTTTCTCATTTTCTTTTGAAAAAGTACGCTTTCACGTGCCAAATATTGTATTAGCTTTCGAAATTTCTTTCAAATATTATCTGTTCGTTTGTCATGCTGATATGTCAGATGAATCTAAATCATCTCCTCATCTTTTGGATATGGATACTCACAGAAGTCATCCTCTTAGCCTCCCTCCGTAGTAGAAATCCTGGCCATTCAATTCATATTATTTTACCAAATCATCTCATGTTAAAATAATTTATTTTTAAGAAATAATTCTTTCACAATTTATTTCATCACTTTAAATATATATTTTTTATACTAATGAGTAATGATTCAAAATGATTTTTTATTTTTATTTTTAAAACTTAATCTAAAAATTTACTCTACAAATTCTTTTTTAACATATTCTTGTCAAATAAGTTAGACCATGGTTTGAATGAGCTAGATGGTAAATTCTTTCAAATAGTTTGAATAATATTAAAGGCTTGCGGACTTACAATATTTTATTCAAACTTTGACTTGATGTATTTAAAAAAAAAAATTTGCAAAGTAATTTTTCAGAACAAGTTTTGAAAATAACAAGAACATTTTGAATCATTCATATAAAAAAATATATCTAAAGTGATGGAATAAATTGTGAAAGAATTTTTTTAAAATTAAATTATTTTAACATGAGATGACGTGGCAAGATATGAGATATTAGATATAAATTGACTGTCAAAAGTTTTTGTTGCTGAGGTGCATTGAGAGGATCTGAATCCTCATCTTTTTTCTCCTTTTGTTCGTATCCTTATATTAGATTAAAAATTGAATGGTTGATATTTGGATAAATTTTTTTTTATAAGTAAAGGAAAACTAAGACTAGCTATTCAGCCTATTAGTTACAAAAAAAAAATTCTCAAAGAGAAAAATTGATGTTTAATGGAATAATAAATGAAATCAAATAAAGAATAAAATCCATCCTAGTTATGCTACTCCTTACCCTCACTATTTATGATACTTTAAAATATTAATTGTTTGCCTATTTCTCCTTCTTCAGCTCGCTGTCGGGCTTAGTTTAGCCATGCTTGCATATGACAAAGCAATATGTTTGCAACTAGGGCTTCTCTTCCCAAGATTGTTCGCTGCTGGATGAATGTAGGACATGCAGGAATCACTGTGGTGGGCTTTATGCACGAGTGGAGAAATCCTTCAAAAGCTTGTCTGCAACCGAATGAGTCCTTTTTGACTTGATTCTTTGGTCCTTAACTTTGAGCTTCACATTTTGAGGCATTTTTAATGATATTTTGTCTCCTTTTCCTGAAAATACACCAAAATCTCTAAATGAGACATTTTATCTACTTTTATGTTTAAATCACACATTAATTACTCAAAATAAGGGCATAAATTATGTATAAATCTATATAAAATATGAACTTATCAAACTCCCTCACACTTAGACTGTTGCTTCTCTTCAAGCAAATACTTTTGTGTTTAGCTTCATTTCCTATATGAGAAGATTAAATATGTGACTTTTGCTCATAGCACTAGTAAAAATTAATTGTGTAACTAACCAATTGAGCTTTAATATGAGAGAGAAAGTCAATAATTCCATTAGTGTCACTACAAGGAGTGAATTTAGTTCTTATTGATTAAGCACTTATCTCTAAAATGAATTTGTCTATACCTTAAGGACTTACCTATTTATTTGTCTCAGTTAGTGCAATGGGGTCACCCACCTTTAGCCAATCATGAGTTGTCTTTCTTCCTTAGATAATCCTCAGGTCCTTTTGACACACCTTGATATTGGTAATACAAGGGCTCAATTAACTAGACTTGGGGATTTTATAAGCACACTTTTGACATTTACTAAGCTATTTGACATGGAGATCGACATTGGTGATGAAGGTCTCCAGTTACTAGGCCCAATTGGCATTAGCAAAGCGGATACTTCAGCATTTATTGCACCTATATATTATATTTCCTTTTATATAGGATCATATCCCTTTCTAACTACTTTGCTAAGTATTAGCATTCCAAGCATAGACATATAAAAAGAATAACAAATAAATGGTACCATATTCTTGATTGTTTGATTAACTCTGGGCTACCAACCTTAAATTCTTTCTCCAAATATAAAGTCACTCTCAGTAGTTATATGGCAAAATAAAATAGTTCAAAAGAAAAAAGATAAAAAAAAAAGAAATCTTTAAAAAATTTTCAAGAACAAAGCCAATTATAACAAGTAAATTATTAAGAAGATTTAATCAAAGTAAGTGACAACTGGTTATCATGATATATCCTCCCTCACACTTAAGACATCATAGTGACCTCATTGTGAATGTGATAAAAAAATCAAAACAAGAGAGGAGGGTATGAGAATAATACTTCCTTGATTAAGCTCAATTTTATGGGACACATTGCTGTATGTGCTCGACGTGATCATGGTCC